GAACCTCTCAGGTCACTGCTCAGATCTTGCTGGAGCTGGGGAGCCTCTCCTGCTGGCCACAGTCTCTCATAGGGGATCCTGGAGCCCAGTGGGGAGCCTCTCCTGCCAGCCACACATCGCACTGCTGAGGACCCCAGTGCTGCCTGCAGGTCCCACTCCTTCAGGCTCTTCTGGGGCAACTGCTCCCGCCCCGCTGGCTCAGCTCTTGCTAGCTGCTTGAAGCTCCTTCCTTGTGGTCCCTCGCTGGTCTCTTCCCTGAGTCAGCCACGCTGCCCCTTTTATCCCCCTCCAGGTGACCCACAGGGCCAATCAGGGGACATGGAGGGTGAGTCTCTGGGGCCTGATTGGTGAGGAAAGGGAATCCCAAGCCCTCCAATCATCTTTTGCCCTTTCAAAACCCCTGGGCTAAGTCACTACCAGCCAGCTCATCACAATTCTTTAAACTTTTTGCTAATGAAACGCAGCAAGCTCCCCCAAGCAATGGGATTCAGAGAATGCAGAGGGCATTTCCCGTATTTTTTTAACACACAGGAAAAACAGAATTATGTGGGACCTCTCCTGGAAGCAGAGTACTGTGGGGTTGAAAGTATGACGCCTGGTGAGACGGGCAATTTTTAGAATGGTATCAGGACAACCGTGATAAGACCTTTGACATGCAAAAGGAATTGGCCTATTATTGGCAGTGTTGGCTACAAATGTCCAACTCAGGATCCTTAAAATTCTGGTTTATTAGGCGGATTGAAGCACTGTAATGAAGTTAAGTCATAAAATAACCCTTGGGGCTGGTCCCCCCCCCCCGCACACACATGCACACACATGCACACACACAGTAGCAAGCTACAAGATTCAGGTATACCTATCCCACAGGCACTGCAGTTTGCCGTTGAGGCTTCTTTCAGCGTGGTGTTATCTTCCAGAAGGGGGTTGCCGGCTGGTCCTTCTGGCTGGACAGGTCAGGTGCTGGTCAAGTTGGAGATCAAGAGGGCGCCACTGAGGGTCACTTTTCACTGTTTTTTATTTGTCTTTGGCAGACTTTGGTGACTCCCCAGTTTTCAGGTTTGCCCAATCCAGGGGTTGTTGACCCTTGGATTGGGGACTTCCCCCTCAATCCAGGGGTTGTTGACCCTTGGTTGTGGGACTTCCCCCTCAGTGGCTACTGGATGGCAAGTCTCAACCCCCCAGGGCGGCCGCATGTACGTGCAGGTTTGGAAGTCTGTTGATGAATTTTGAATAGGGCTCTGGGAGCGGTCAATCTGGAGATATTCAGCCCAAAAGTTGGTCCCCACTGTTGATTAACTCAGGCCAGGGCTTCTAGCCCTTGATCAGTCAGGTTTAGAGATTTCCCGGTTGTTACATTGTCTTCTATTGAGTTCTTCCGTTGGTTGATCTGCAGTTTCCTTAGGTGTTAATATCTGTCTGCTACCGTGTTACACATTCAATCACTGATTCACTCGCTCTTTCAGGGGCCAGTCTGATACAGGGAAGGGCAGTTTGATTCCTGCCCTTGTTAACATTGTTACAATGTTTAACTTACTTATGAAACTAAACACATTTAGTTGAAAGTTGAAAGGTGAGGAGTATAAAATATAAGCTACAAAAGTAATGCCATGGCACACAAATAGATAAAAATACCAAAATACAAGGGGAGATACAAAATGCGCACACACAAATTTCAAAACACAATTCCTTATCTTAAAGTGAAAGAAAGAGGAAGGAAGAAAAGGTAGAAGAGGAAAAACATATCCAAGGAGGGGAGAGCAACTGCAGGCAAGAGGAAAAGGGGCTTTCTGCTACAGCAGCTGGATGTAAAAATTTTGAAGGAGGCCTCTTGCCTCTACAGGAAAGAGATTATGAAAATGACATGGCAGGTAGAGGTGGTGTAAAAGGGTAAACTCAAATGGGTAAGTCTCTGCATAGACCCTTTCCAATATATCACACTGGCATCTTTTTGTATGGCCATGTACAGATTTATGTTTTTGAAACCCCTGACCATAGCACTTCTTCCCCCAGACAATTATCACAAAGATATTTTTTATCCCAATCTATTCAGTGGCTAATGTACCCCTCCGAGAAAGAAAAAAAATCCAAATCCAGCATACTTTACAGGGTGTGGAATTTCAAGCGGGGGACTATTTTTTAGATGGCTGTGCAGAAATTGATGGAAAACGTGCAGCCTTTGAATTTAATGGCTGCTTTTTCTATGGCTGTATCTCCTGCTGCAATTAAAATGAATGGAACCCATTGACAGGGACAACCTATGGCTTTTTGAATTGTCAGACACAGTACAAGGCAGATTATTTTAAGAGACTAGGATTTACTGTCAGGACCATTTTGGAGCATGAGTGGAGGACTTTGTTAGAATCAGTCGGGGAGTTCACAAATTTCTTAAGCAGAACCCAGCTGCCTTCTCCTCTGGTGCCTAGGGACGAACTCTTTGGGGGAAGAATTAATACCATCTCTGTCTCTATTACAGAAGTAATCTGGGTGAACAAATTCACTATTATGATTTTACCAGTCTCCACCCCTTCAGAAACAAAACAAACACTAACAAAACATAAACTCTGTACCAGGTCACACAAGAAACCTTTTCTGAGCAGGGGTGGGGGCGCTACTTTTTAAATTCTCAAATAATGCCCCATACACCCCTGCTCAGGGACCTCCAGGGGTTCAACACCTTGCTTGACTGCCATTGTCTTTGGACAGCTGCAACAGTCTTATTTTGAATGCCTCTTGTTAGGACATGAGCAAAAACAGTTCACGCAAAGACCTTTACTCTCAGTGGGGTGCCAATGTGTAGATTTTGAAAGCTCTCTGTATGGGAAGCACCTACCTGCAAAGGAAGCATAATTAGCACAGACCTGCATGATGACAATAGAAAGCCACCCCCCAAATTATCTACTTACCTCAACAGTGTCCCTTGGAGCAGGACTGTCCACCAGCTCTGTGCTCTCCACGAAAGGCTCTGATATGGGCTGCTGGGGTTCTGTTATCGTCCTTCGGCCAGTTTTAGGTGTCTGGGAATCTGTCCGAGTTACCTGAACCTCTTTCACAGTGTTTCTGAGCGAGAGGTGTGTGAATAGTCCCGGGGCTTCCAATCTAGGTTCCACCTTTCCTTGATCAGATTGGTTCAGCACTATTCTCAGGGAGGTCCTCGTTGTTCTCAGGTGAAAACATCCCACCCTATTGTAGTCAATAGGTCTGATGACTTGATGATGATGGCCCATCCAAACTTTCCATAGCTTTCCTGCTTTCCTCAGGCATGTTCCAACATGTCCTTTTGAGGGGACCCTGTTTACCCTCACTGTGCAGGGAAGGTAGAGTACAATGCCCCAGCCAACCTTTTGCTGTGTTTTGTAGGTTAACAGAACCCTCACCCATCCACACCCCTGCCAGTGTTATGCACCCAGGGCCCCAAGAGACTGAACAGCACATGACCTGGTGACCGTCTATGGGGACCTGGTGACCATCTATAAACTCACTAGGGGGGACCAGAAGGGTTTGGGGGAGACCTTGTTTCCCCTAGCACTCCCAGGGATAACAAGGAATAATGGCCACAAGTTGTTGGAGAGTAGGTTTAGATTAGACATCCATAAGAACTACTTCACAGTCAGGACGGCTAGGATCTGGAACCAACTTCCAAGGGCAGTGGTGCTGGCTCCTACCCTGGGGGGCTTTAAGAAGCAGCTTGATGCCTACCTGGCTGGGGTCATTTGAGCCCAGTTTTCTTCCTGCCTAGGCAGGGGGTCAGACCTGAAGATCTACAAGGTCCCTTCCAACCCTACTTCTATGATTCTATGACAACAGTGAGCATTCATTTTAAAACAGCCTTTATTTCCATCAAATTCTGTATAAAATTTACTGCTTTTTGCTAGTTTTATACTATATCCTGGCTAAACTTTTCTCCAGAGCACGGTTTTATAAGCTCTTGTCCCAATTAAGTGTTCCAACGTAGGGTATGAGAGGCCTATTTTTTTCCTGGATAATTCTATATGGAGCAGAATTTGGGTCTCTAGACAAATTAGCAGACATTAACAATGGCTATACCAAGCAAAATGCCTCTCAGTTAATTTCAAACAACCCAGGCTATAAGCTAATGCAATAACATTATTTAATATCTTCATCAGCGATTTGGACGAGGACGTGGAGAGCACCCTCTCCAAGTTCGCTGATGATACCAAGTTATGGGGCAAAGTTAGTACACCGGAGGGCAGGGAGCAGATTCAGGCTGACCTGGACAGGTTGGATCAATGGGCAGAGAGAAATAGGATGCAATTTAATGAAGATAAATGTAAGGTACTCCACCTGGGAAGGAGGAACCCCCCGCACACCTATAGGTTAGGGAGTGTCCTTCTCAGCAGCTCGGAGGCAGAGAGGGATCTTGGAGTCATAATTGACTCCAAGATGAACATGAACCAGCAGTGTAACGAGGCCAACAACAAGGCCAATTGTACCTTGTAGTGCTTTAGCAGGTGCATGACTAATAGAACAAAGGAGGTGATGCTCCCCCTCTATGTGGCACTGGTCAGGCTGCAGTTGGAGTACTGTGTCCAGTTTTGGGCACCGCACTTCAAGAGGGATGCGGGGAATCTCAAGAGGGTCCAGAGGAGGGCCACTCGCATGATTAGTGGCCTTCGTGATAGACCCTATGGGGGGAGGTTGAGAGAGCTGAATCTCTTCAGCCTTCACAAGAGACGACTGAGGGGAGATCTTGTGGCCGCCTATAAATTTATTAGGGGAGGTCAACAGGGAATAGGGGAAGTGCTATTTACTAAGGCGCCCCAGGGAGTGACTAGGAATAATGGGTGTAAACTAGTTGAGAGTGGATTTAGGTTAGATATTAGGAAGAAATTTTTCACAGTAAGGGTGGCCAGGATCTGGAATGGGCTTCCAAGAGAGGTGGTGCTATCACCTAGCTTGGAGGTCTTCAAGGGGAGGCTAGATAGTCACCTGGCTGGGGTCATCTGACCTCGGTCCTCTTTCCTGCCAGGGGCAGGGGGTCATACACGATGATCCATTGTGGTCCCTTCAGACTCTATGATCTATGAATCTATGAACAATATTTAAAATGGTTTCCATACACAGCTCAGTACAAAGTTCCCGAATTGTCTGGTTTATATCCTCAGCCATCCAGTTCACGCTCTTGTGGCTTCCTTATTCTGGTTCATCTAAAAAACAACCCACATACTCTTCAACACCTCATTCTCAAACAATATTTAATTATGCCATAAAACGAAGCCTGCATAAGCGCTCTCATGAGCTTTTCATGCTTTTGATGGGAAACAGGACCTACTAGTTCTATTCCTAATTTTCTTCTAAAAGCTGAAGAGAAATCTTCTTCAATACGGAGCCTCTGTTCTTCATAAAAACAGCTTCCATTTTCTGATACCAGGGTTAAAGGACTTCTAGTGTGTTGTCTTTCTGGATTCATTAGAAAGGCTTCATTTAGCTGTGGAGGGATTTCAAATGAAAAACTCTAGTTAGTCACGGTCTAATCAGCTCATAGCTAATTCCCACCCTGGCCACAGGAAACCCACCTAAGGGTCTCCACGCTCGTGGTTCCAACCATATTCTCCCCACCCACAGTCCAACTCAAGGCACACCTCTTCTCCCAAATCCTCAGTGCTTGCTTTGGGAGTCTGGTCAGCCAGCTCCCCAGCCTGCTGCAGACTTGCATAGGTGTCCTGCCCAGGGTCAGTCACTTCAAACGACTGTTGTGTTAGGAGGGGTGTTCTCCTTAATCTCCCTCTCTCAGAGCTATCACTACGGTAGCATTTTCTTGGCAGATATCTGGCGAGCCTTGGCGGTACAGCACGAACAAAGGGTCTTACCGGCATAGTGTAAGGATCCATATTTGCTTCTGTCTGCATTAGCGTGGTTTCAGAAAACATGCAGTGTGCTTTGGAGGGTTCCCCAAACAGGCCTGGGAAAACAGACAGGCTGAGTCTTCCAGTCTAGGTCCCACCCCTACGTTTGCTCCAATCGGTTTAGTGCTATTCTTGGGAAGATCTGGCACTCCTGAAACCCCCACTGATTGGTCGAGGGCAGTGGGGAAAGATGTTAGAGGGGTCACAACCCCACTCTTTC